AGAGCCGTATAATCCGCTCAAGCAGCTGCTGGTGACCATCGAGCACAAGATCCGGAACCTGGAGAAGCGCAAGGTCAGTGTGATGGGAGGCCGGGCTTAAAGTGGCAAGAAAGGATCTCTTTTTGGCAGCATGGCCCACCATTTTTATTTTCATTCTCTCCGTGTTGCTTTGTTTCGTTTTGTGCGCACCCCGCGGCCCCCCTCCCCCCGCTCGGCGTAAGTTTTCGGGGCTGGCAGATTTTTCGCGACGCCATGTTTTCTAGAGCACGGCGTTGCCAGACTGCGCACAGCGGCCGGCATGTCAATTAGAACTTAGGGCAAAAAACAATCTCTGATTGTTTCGATTTCCTCAGCCTGCCTTCTGCGGGCTGCAAAGTGCTTTGAAAAGTTTGTTTGAACACGATGGTTCTTGCAAGTTCTTGCATCGAAACGCACGCTCTACCAACAGCTGAGTAAGCGGTCGGTCTGGCAACGCCATTCGCCGGTTCGGAATGCTGAAGTTTTGTTGTTGCTCTAATTCTTTTTCTTTGCTTTTGTTTATTTGCGGATTTGTTCTTTCAAGTTGTTTTAATATCTGGATAACTATACTAAAACAAAATTTAGAAAACCTAAACAAGGAAAATTCAGATTTTTATCTCCTTTTTTAAAATTGCTTTATAATTTTAACGTGCAAAGTGATTTGCTCACTTAATTAATTCTCTAAATCATTTTACTCGTAATATGTTGTTCCTATGTACTATTTTTCTTTCACTGTTGTTAAACAAAGTAATGACCCAAATCCTCATGAAACCATTTTTTTATTTGATCATTAACTATCTTCCGCTTTAAAAATATTTTTTAAAAACCAAAACTATAATCATAAGAGCTGGAAAACTGATTATACAAAAACGATTTGAAAGACTACTCTGCTATTACTCTTCTGTTTGCCAAAATGCAATTGGCCGTAAAGTCTGAAAACCTTATTGGCTAAAAATTCTAACTGGTCGTTTTTGTCTGTTTAAAATATTTAGCTATACCATGAAAAACCAATTGTAACTCGCTTTCTGTCTAAAACTAAAATTGGTCTTGGAACAAATATATACATAAGGTCTTATCTTTTATAGTTTGTAAATTCTAGAAACTAAAGGTTGCCATTTATTCGTTTGTAAAGTGATTTAGTAAATGCAAGTTGTATAAAAAACAATACATTTTAAGTAAAACCCCATATCTTGCACATTACATTTCTGTTTAGTTATTTATGTATTTGCAATGTTAGGAAGATCCGAATATCGCTGCGTCAGCAGTAAGCACGAGACAGAATCTGACTCACTACTTTTCTCTGTATTTTCAACAGACCAAACTGGAGTCTTATCGCGCCATACAGAGCACCGGCAAGGAGCTGAGCGGCGACCAGGCTTCGGCTGTGGCCAAATATGATGCGGTCCTGGCCAATCTGGAGTTTGCCCGCGAGCTGGCCAAGCATATTCAGCAGCAGTCCAAGGAGGCCGAAAAGGAACAGAAGAAACAGGCGCGCAAGGTAAACTGGTTGATTTTATAACTATCGCTGATACTAATACCTTGCATTCCACTACAGGACAACCTGGCGAAGACAATTGCTGAGACGGCCAAGATCAAGGAGGTTCTGATCATCCAGAATGTGCTTAGCTGCTTCAACGACGAACAAGTGCGCAACGATTTTCTGACCGGCGAAAACGGAGCGACCAAATTGGACAGCAGCGAACTGGATGTGCTGGAGAAATTGTAAGTATTACGGAATAAAACAATGTATTTTGCGAGACCATTTCTAAATTTAAAATTAAAAACACAATTTTCTCTTTTCCCCAGCTGCATGGAGACTCAAACTCGTCGCCCGGAAACAGCTGATGATGTTAGCTTTATTACCACTGCCCAAAAGTCTGCTGAACTGTTTTCTTCGACCATCAATGCGCGTCCCAAGTCCTTTGGCGATGTGACCTTCGAGAAGTTGCGCACTCTCTTCCAGCAGATCCAGGACTCTGGCTACTTGGACAAGTACTATCTGGTGCCCCTGGCCGATAACGCGGTGGCCAACAGCACGGATAGTGGCACTGGAAGCGGCGATGGAGAGGGCGGTGACTTGTTGAACGATGGCTCGGGCGAGCTCGACACGGAACTGCCATCGGAGCCATCGGCACGCACCTCGTTGGAGGAGGGATTGGACAAGTTGCATCTGGGAGTGCAAACGGATCTGGAGCAGCATCCACAGCACCAGCAGCAGCAGGAGCGTCCGGGACATCTTATACTGGAGCAGCAGCACCAGCGTGCTCCCTCTCTGGAGCATCAGCAGCAGCAGAACTTGGTGGTGCAGCAGCAACAACAACAACAGCAGCAGCCACCACCTCAGGTTTACCAGGCAGCTCCTCCGGCCGGAGGAACCACCACGCCAGTGCACGTTCTGTACGCTCCTGCGCCGCCTCCCCAGCAGCAGCAGCAGCCCCAACAGCAGCCGCCACATCCTCACCAGCTGTTGAGCAGCCCTGTGAATCTCCAGGCCTTGCAGTCGGGAGCCGCAGCTCCGCCGCCACAGCAACTGCAACCGCATCCAACTCACGTTGCTCTCAATGTGCGCGCCGTGGAACAGAACTACTTCAAGCAGCCACCGCCGCATCCGCAGGCTCCTGGACTGCAGGGACCACCAACGCCCCAGCAGCAGCAGTTTATGCAGCAGTTGCGCCCCTTGGCGGAGGTTCTAGGCACAGGAAGCTTCCACTTTCTGCAGGACAGTGAACTGGACAATCCTGAAGCTTTAGCCCCACCACCGCCGACCAATCAGGGATTGGTTTTCGAGCAGCAGCCGCAGCAGCCCAACCACGTCGAAGAACCACCGCAGGCCATACAAACGCTGACCTTCACCAACCAGTCGTTCCCATCGCAGCAGCCCAAGCCCCAGCAGCAGGCTCCTCCTCCGCAGCAACAGCAGCTGTTCTCCCCTGTCCTGATTCACGAACAACGTCAGCAGCCACCACAGCAGCAGCCGCAGCCCATGTTGATTATGCCGCGTCTGCCAACACAGCAGCCTCAGCAGCCGGCTCCTCAGGGAATTGGAATGCAGCCGGGCGATGTGACCTCTGTTTTTCCCTATGAAAATGCTGTGGTCACCTATGAGCAACAGATCCAGCAGCAGTTGAAACAGCAGCAACACCAACAACAGCAGCAGCAACAACAGCAGCAGCAACATCAGCAGCAGCAACAGCTAGAAGAGTCTTCGTCTGTAAACACCTCATCGAGTGTAGGCGCCGGTGGAGATGTGGAGAACAATGAATGGCATGCTCGTAATAACGATACGAATGCCGCAGCCACAGCTGCGCTTACGAATGTGCTTAAAGGCGAGGCCACGCCACCGGCTCCGCCTACCAAGTGGAGCTCGGAAATGAATGCCATGAGCAGCGCTGCCTCGAATGGCAGCAGCAACACCAGCCACAAGCAGGAGTGGGCTACGCCCAGGGACCACAGCGCTGGCGGTGGCAATGGCGGTTATGCGGACAACGAGGGCAACAACCACTGGAACAACTCGCAGGGCGAGGGACGTCGCAACTCGGGCAATTACCAGCGACGTGGCGGAGATCGGGACAACCGGGATCGCGATCAGGGAGGGCGTGGCGATGAGCGGCGCAACGGCGGCGACAGAGGTAACTACCGGTCGCGTCAGTACGGCAACTCGTCGAACGGACGCAACTCGGGCAACAGCGGCGTGTACTTCCGCAACAATGAGTCGGGCAACGGTGGAGGCAACAGCTACTACCAGAATGGAGGAGGCGGTGGTGGCACGTACAACAAGGAGTCGCGCTACGAATCGTCCGGCGGCGGCGGTGGAAGCTACCGTGGTCAGCGCGGTGGCAACCAGCAGAGGAATGTCAATGGTTCGTACGGAGGCGGCAGGCCCATGGGCGATCGCGGGCGCGGCGGAGCGGGCAACCAGGGAGGTGGTGGTGGCTACATAAACCGCCAGAACCAGTCGCAACGCATGCCTCTTGGACTGGAGAATAAAAACTGAGCAAACAATACGTATTAACCGAAAACAAAAAACATACAATTCATGCAAACCATACACACAAAACACACATACAGAAAACAAGGAAATCAATCATCCACATGCAAATAATGGCAACGTAGACGTACAATTATCGTTACGTAAAAAACTCTCAACCAGAAGGAACGGAAGTCTATCAAAAAGAATCCTTTATAACGCAACTAGGGAAACGAAAATGAAGCAGCAGCAAAACCGATTCGTGCGCATTTTTGAATACAATTTATAATTATTTTCCTTGATTTTGGTTTATTTGATAATGTATTATTAATAAAACAAAATAGTTGTTAGAAACAAAAGGGAATTACAACTATATACAGGAAAGTAAACGCTCTAAGGGTTTCTAAAACTCCCAGACAGGACAGGACTTCGGCAAAGGAAAACAAACGAATGAGATGGGCCAAACACAACTCGATCCGCCACTTCTCGCCCGACCTCACTATATCCCTGTTTGGCTGCGTTGAAGCTAATGCGATAATTAACAGATGTCGAGAGAGAGAGAAAATAAAAAAGTATTTATACGTCTTAGCAACTAAATAACGATTCTGAAATATACAAATTAATTACTATTACCTATATATATAAACGAAGGATAAATATATTTATAGTTTGTGCTCTTACTGTCTGCTCTATCCCATTTCAACACCTTTTTTGTTTTGCCAAACTTTTACACACAAACGAAGAAAACTAAAATACAAAAGCCACGTAAGAAAATAATAGTTGTAATTAATATTGCGTGGATGAAGAAGTGTGCACACTAACAGTGCATTATAAATGAAATGAAACTATGTATTTGCAAAATAGTACATACATTAAACAAAAGTATATAAATCAAACGTTTTTTTATATTACAAAGGGTCACTTGGGTCATTTGAAAATGGAAATAAAAACCATTTAAAGGGGAGTCCAATGAAAACAGTTTTTTTTACTTTCAACTATATTTATAAACATTTTTTATCTAAAACTTAATAATACTTATGTGTTTAGTTAACTTTATTGCAATTGGATACAGATCTGTTTCTCTTAACTTTTACTTAAGGCCTGATAAAGATTAATGGAGCTAAGACTAACTTTATATTTTAAATATCCATGTTATATTAAAATATATTACGGAGTCTTTAGTGTATATAACATACATATTATAAAAATATTTGTTTTTCAACTATTTTTCCTTATCGGCTTCCATTTTCAAGGTTTCAACAGCTCCTCCATCGCAAAGGAACCAAAGCCCGGCCAGAATTAGTGTAATGCCAATGCCAGATAGAGCTGTAAGCGGTTCTTGATAAACCAGTGCTCCTAAAATAAACTATGTAATGAATGTTAGTCATAATTCTGCAAATCTTTTAGAAAACCCACCGATAAGACATAATTAGAGGCGGCACATAAAACAACGCAGGTTAACGTTTGATCAGTCATTTGTAAAGCTTTCAAAAAGCAACGCAAGTTGCTAACGTTGCAGATTATCATTAGGACCAATGGAAGAACACGGAGTAAAGCAATTTCTATAAATAAAATAGAGGTACAATCAGACCATTTGCTTTATAAAATAAAAAACTCACCCAAATACGAAGAGTCTGAAATATTTTCTGAAGTATTCAGTAACTTCTGGGCGCTGAGATGGCTGGGAAGTTTTCCAAAAAAGCTTCCCCCAGCGGCAAAAGACCCAGCCACCAGGCTGTAACGATATTTAGCGAGCGACTCCATTTATTTTTAAATTTAAATGTTAGTCTAATAAAAACGTAAACAAAAGTTAGGAAACTAAAAAAACAGCTGATTTTCAAAGACTGCCAACTTTTGCCAATCTAAAAGAGCTGCCAACTTGTGTTCAAAAAAGGGAATGGGTTACAAAATATTCCGTAAGGTGTCGCTTTTCCCTTGGCGCCAAATCAAATAAACAAGACAAATTGTGCATAATTGTTTTCATATTTCATTTGTTTATTTTACAAAACGTTCAGCTAATGCCTTGACATTTAAATCGAAAAAAGTCTCATTTGCTAATTGCGCGTTGTATTTTTGCATTTTATCATCTTAATCATTTGGAATCGTGTATATACAAACATAGATGCTACATAAATAATACAAATTTTCTTGTATCTCTCAACAAAACTCAACTCACATAATTCCTTTTGCCCTCTAGCATTAACATCTTTTCAATTCAAACATTTAGACACTTATATGGGGGAATTGCTTGAGTGCTTTGCATTTCGTTTCATTGCTTTGCTTTTCTAATCCGTCACGTTTTAACTACAATTTCGCTATCGTATATTTAGTTAAATATTTCATACTTGTTGCATAATACTTTGCCTGTTTCGGTTTCAACACTCACACACTGAACCACAGATAATCTGAATGCACTCCAAGCAAATCTATTAAGTTAAGTTCTTAGCAACGCTAAATAAATATTTTTGATGTTTTTCATATGGTTTTTGATTTTGCTTTTACATATCAACTAAGGTAAACTGCTCACATTTATTTAATATTACTCTTTTATATTCTTTAAAATGTATACATATGGTTGTATATTTGTATAAATTTGTATCGTATAATTGGTTGTGTGTGTGTAGTGTAGTGTCTGCTAGGAAAATGCAACGACTTTGAGCCGTTTTTTTGGGGGGAGCTCACAGAACTGAGCCCCCTGCTTAAACCAACATGCATTTGTGTTTTTAACATTCAAGGATTCACTCACTGAATTCGGCTAATCTAAAAAAAGACACTTTTTGCTTGCCATTTTGATAATGGTCTTTCCCTCTGACACATCTGGTTGGTTTAATACCCTGTGATTCTAGTAGTTAGTTAGTTAGTAAGTTCATTTAGCTTCTACATCAGCAAGCAGCATCTGCGACTGGAACTGGTGCTGTCGGTGACCACATCCCCGGTGATTCCGCTGAATTTGTTCAGGGAGCTGCCCGCCGGCGAGGACACCTCGAAGTCGGATAGTAGGCTGCCAGGACCACCCAGGTGACCCATGGTGGGTTGCGTCGAGATCGGGGCTGATCCGTTGTTGTTGTTGTTGCTGGTGCTAAGGTTGTTGTTGTTGTTGCTGCTGCTGCTGCTGCCGCCGGCTCCTAAAACAGAACCATTAGTTGTTGTTGCAGTGGCAGTGGCAGTTGCAGCTGCAATTGTATGGGCATTGCTAGTTGTTTGGGATGACAATTCGAAATTATTGAGGACATTGGCGGTGCGTGAAAGCGAGCGTTGCTTCTTCAGATTGGCCAATGTGGCACTAAAGCCATCCAAGGCAACATGCTGCTGCTGCTGCTGCTGCTGTAGCTGTTGCTGCTGCTGGTGTTGCTGGTGTTGCTGCAACAGCAATACATGTTGCTGCTGGTGGAGTTGCTGCTGCTGCTGCTGCTGTTGATGTTGCTGATGGTGGTGCGTGCTGTTGGTGTCTGGATGTTCGTGTTTTTTGGCAAGGCGTTGGGGTTGTGTGTTTGTTTGGATGGTGCGGTGATGGTGTAGTTGTTGTTTTTATTGTTGATGATGATGCGGGCAGGCAGACGACACAGAACGGGCGAAACGAGGCACGACACAACAACAAAAAAAGAATGAAACAGAAACAAGCAAATGTTATTTTACTTTTCTTCTCTTTTTTCCTCAGAGTTAAGTTAGTAAATACCCCTTGACCAGTTGGGTGGGATTGGTTATGTGGGATGGGTTTCAGCCATGCATTTCGTCTTTCCAGTAATATAATTATAAAAGCTAAATGGTTCCAAGAAACTAAGCTAAGCCTTAGGATCTCTGAAGAAAAGCATCCTTAATTAAAAGGAGTTTATTTTTTAAATAAACAAAAATATTATGAATAGCAGTCCTTGTTAAAATCATACGACCAAATAGAAAAGTTGGTAAAAAATATCTAATTTAAAGGCTTTAAAAGAAAAAATAAATAAATTAGAAAGTTGCAGTCCTCGTAAAAATCGTACAACCAAAGAGGTACGTAGTTTACTAATTTAGGAACTTTGGTAAAAATAATTTTTTATAAGGTTTTAAAAATATATAAAATTACTACTTTTGTTAAAAGTTTTGCTTTGTCTAAATTTAAAAGCAAATAATTTTAAGTTAAAGACTATTTAAAAAAATTTAAGTGACACAATATAATATCCCATTTATTTATTTATTGCCTTTAACTTAAAATTGTTTGTTTTTTTTCGAAAACTTATGGAAATGTAGAGTTTGAAGCGTACTTTATGTTTAAAACGTACTTGAAATAATAAAACGGCTTTCTAAATTGTAAATTAACATAACTAACTACTGTAATACCTATTTTTTTAACTCTTTTACAATTCCCAAAGCCTCTTGCCTACAGGGCATACCCCATTCGATATTCTACTCATGCTGTTAGCTGTGTTTGCTTGTTGGAAGTATTTTCATTTCCATTTTAGTAGAGTCGTTAAATAAACATTAAACATTGACATTGACACGGGGACAGAATGGCGCTTAAGCAGGACTCTCCGTGATACGCTGACGCTCCTTGGGAGCCGAATTGGGTGGCTCGATGGGTGGGTTGATGGGAGGCATGAGTGAGTGGGTGGAGGAAGCGGAAGCGAGCCCGGCACGTGGCCGGCATGGCTGTTGACTCACCCACAAGGACGGTGACCTGCACGTTGATCTTGCCGTTGGCTGCCTCCTTGGACGACTGGATCTGAACGGCCTCGGCACTGGCCGCCGTTCCCTTCTCGCTGAGGATCACAGCCGCCGCCGAGGTGGCCCGCTGCACTTCACCAACTCCGCCGGCGGCTTTCAGGCGGAGCAGCTCGTCGTTTTCCCGGCCATCCGGTGGACGACGCGATGGGTAGGAATGTGTGGTGGTGGTGGTGGCCGACAATGCGGCCGAGGATGCCGACGTGGCATTGTCCAGCGCATCGGCGGACTTGGAGTGCGGCAGTGGCTGGCCATTCGAACTGCCCGTCGAGGGCCGCTTCTCGCCGTTGTTGTTTCCGTAACCATAGCCATTGGTCAGGGGATCGCCGCCCGAGGAGGGAGTCTCCGAGTCCGTCGCCTCCTGGGCCTGCAGTCGCAGACGCGTCTCCTCGACGGCATCCTTTTTGGTTGTCAGCGTTTTGTCCCGCAAACTAGTACGTCGCACGGATTGGGCTCTGTGGATTGAGGAATTTCCGCTAAAGTTGGTTTATGTTCTTTTAATGGGCTCTAAGCAACATATACCTGGTATTGTTGCTCTGCGAGCGGCGAACACGTCGTCGCTGCGCCTCGGCCAGTCGTTTGACCTCCTGCTCTGTCTTTAGCTGCTCGATGCGCTCCCTGATCTCGGGATCTTCACAGATATCTATGGGGGCGATAAAGGTAAAGGATTTTAAGTTATAAATATTATTGGTTCCTTGGGAATTCGGTTTGTCTACAATTAGCTTCAACATGTTGTAGGGCAAACGTTTTCATGTCTTTAACCCTGATTAGTAATATATTTTGTAGCTATTTCATATCCATTTGTATTTGCAAAGGTTGACCAAAAAATGTAAAACCATTTTATGGATCATTTATCAAATTAATGGAAATGGAAATCAAAAAACACCTAAATACTTTTCATGAAAACTTTTAAAATATTTTAATGAGAATAAAAAAGTTATAGCTTTTTTATGTAATTTTTAGTTTTTAAAATTTTGTTAATAAATTTCCCATTTTAAATGTCATATTAACTAAGAATAAAAAGTTCTTGAATAATTTTACCAATATTTACTTTACACAAGTTAAGGTCAACAGGACTTTTTAAAACCAAGCAAACTTTCTCAAATCCCCTTGAGCTCAGAAAATTGGCAGCACTGTCTCGTTTCTTGCACACCTGAGCCAGTTAAACCCACTACAAATAGTCTAGATGCATGTCTGCCATTTAAAGATTTCACTGAAAAGATTTACACGCTCTCCATGTTAACACTAACAACAATTTATAGCTCAATTTCATATTCATGGTTATTTCGCTCTGCAAGGATATCCGTTTCACATATCCCAGTCTCACCTGAGGGCGTCTCATCGTCCTTGTTGCGAACATTTAAATCAGCACCACACTGCGCCAGCATCTCCAGCACCTCGAGCTGCCAAAGGGGAATATTTTAAATTATTATTCCATTGTTCACAGTTTATTTGTTTCCACGGCTTCACTTACATGACCCCAGCAGGCGGCGGCGTGAACCGGAGTCCACAGATCCTTGTCCATGGCATCCACGTTGACATGCTGTTCCAACAAAAACTCGACGACACGAACATATCCATTGGCGGCAGCTATGTGCAGCTGGACAATTGAGATAAATTAAAAGTTATACACAGGGAAAAATCAGTATTGATGCAGAAGGAACAAAATATTTTGTAATAAAAAAATATATAAAAAAGTTTTTAGTTTTAGCTAAAGCGTTGTCAAATATTTTTATAATAACCAAAACATTAATGTTTTAGATATATTGATTGGTAGTTCAAAATTAAGAAGACATCTGGTATCCTATATTAGACGAGTATTACATTTAAGGCCATTTAGCACTAGCATTAATTAGATTTGTGTAACATTGGTTTTTGATATACCATTTTTAAATGATTTAAAAACAAATGTATTTATCTTTAATTTTAGTATTTTCCTTAAAAGTTGTTTTCTCATTGTTACAATATTTTAAGTAACTGTTTTAATTTAAGACCATAAAGAGGTAAAGAATTGGTTAATATGTATGTCAATTATAAAAATATTTTTAAAAACAATTTATTTATTCCATTAGTCAACTATTTTTAGTTACTCTTGTAAGCTGCAAAGCCATAAAAAAGGAAACATTTTGTAATATATTTTATTTGTCTACCCGTTACTTGTTAATTTTTAAATTTTGGCTTTATAATTCCTTTTTTTCCCTATTTTTAGCAACTTTTTTAAGTTTCAAAAACATAAAAGGGTAAAAAGATGATTAACTTACGGGTGTGGCGCACTGGTAGTCGGGCTCCTCCAGATCGCCCCCGGTGCGGACCAGCTCCATGAGGTCCCTGAGCATGATCCGCTCCGTGGAGGAGCGCGTCTCATCGATCAGCTCCTGGGTGACGCCCCGCTGCGCCATCTCGCCCTCGATGAAGTCCAAGGTGTTCTCGTCGTCGCACAGGTCGTAGGGCATGTTTCCATCGGTGTTGACCGCCAGCAGATTGGCGCCGTGCCGGATGAGGATGCGGACGAGCTCAAGGTGGCCGCAGGTGGCGGCCGCATGCAGGGGCGTCCACTTATCACTGTCCTGGGCATCCACATTCGCCCCGTACTCCAGCAGGAGCTGCAGCATCTCGACGTTGTTGTCGATGCACGCCTGATGCATCGCCGTCAGTCCGTCCTCATTGGCTGCATCCGGCGTGATTCCGTGCTGCAGGAGGGCCGCCACCTCGGGCATATCGTTGCGTGAGGCGGCCTCCAGGAGCACCACGCTGTTCTCGAAGGATATGTGCCGCCTGCCGCTCAGGGTGCCGGATCCGTTGGCGTGCCGGAAGTGGTGCGTGGTATCTCCATTGCCGTTCATCAGCGCGCTGCCCAGGGATCCGCTTCCGGTACCGCCGCCTCCGCTCCCCGTGTTTCCCTTCGCCCGCTGCAACTTGGCCCATTCCTTGTCCTTCTGCCGGGATAGCTTCAGCTGCTGGGCACGACGTCTAATTAAGGAGAAGGGATTTGGCAAGAGATTGGGGATTAGTTGCGGAAATTCGATAGCTCTGGATCGGAAGGGGTTTCTGAGATAGTAGAGCCTTTCCCTTGGACTAATATTTACGCTAAGCTTATACCCAACTTTGTTACACTATTAAACTTAAATGCATAGTTTGAGTTGAACAAGTTTCGTTATGGCAATTATCGGCATTTAAGCACAGAATTAATTAAAATTTGAGAGTACTGTACTTTTATTCTCGTTGACTTTTAATAAATTAAGATTTTATCCATAGCTGTCAAAAAGTGTTGGATTTTATCAGCCTGTCCGGAAACAAAACAGATGATTCAGGGCCCGATAAAAAACAAAATCAGTGAACATTTTTTTTTGCTTTTCTTGTGAATTTAATTATCGCTTATCAGAATCTGTCAAATGCGTCTCAATATTATGATATATATGTATATATTATAATTATACAAGTGGGATAATTTATTGGGTATTACGTTTGAACAATCATTAAATGAAAGCATTAATGGACCATAAATAATCAAAAATAAAATTACCGGCAGTTACACTGATGAGAAAACGGAGTACTATAATTACAAAGATTTCATTTTTAACTTTAAAATTGATATTGATACCGATATTATATTGTTATTATTAATTTAAAATTTCAATAATCCATTTAATAATCTTATTAAAAATCTTTTTAAAAAATCGATAAGGTCTGCGCCTCGGCTTTAAAGTTTATCAATCATACGCACTGTTGGCTTTGGACAAAAATATTATTTTAATATATACTGTGTTTATGCTAGGCTATTTCATGAAATCAATTCATGAAATGGGCAAATTCGTGTGTGCATAATAACACACGAAAGTTGACTATGAATTCAGCCGCAATTCACGAAATGTTGAGGCACAGCCTACTTCACAGCCTACTACTCTATAGAGCTCTATATCGAATTCCAAAAATTTGGCAGCTTTACTAATATAATTTCATGAATTTGTCTGTGTTGTATAAACAGGGGCTATTATAATTTCATGTTCTCGAGAATGCATGATATTCATAGCATAAACATAGTAATAGATGTTCTCGACTTAAATGAAAAGTCCCTTATTTTAAATTCGGGCTCTTGGTATTTTTGAACATTTTTTACTTAAATTGACCGATATCAGAAAGTTGACAAAGTTGGGCAGGGGAAATCGATTCGGCTATATCTGGAATACATGTCGTATGCGTAATTTTAATAGGAACTTTGAGACCGTATTGCAAGGCCCTAGTTCTTCTTTTGTTAATTGTTGAACACTTTGATCTACCATTTTAATCAGTGGGGATAAGATTTCATTTTAAGGACTGCCTTAGAGTACAAAAATTTTTAAAAATATAGTACAAATTCTTTCAACCCAATTGCCCAATGTTTAAAAGTTGACCCTGACGCCTGGGAGAAGTTAATGGAGTTCAATTTCAAAGCTCTAATTTGACCCAACTGGAATACTATAATAATTTAATACTATGAACTCACAGTCTGGCCAGTTGGAGCCGCTCGTGGGTGGGCAGGCTCTCCACGGTCTGCATCTCGGCCACCAGATCGGCGTGCTCCATCTTGAGCTGCTTGGTGTAGCTGGCATCCTCCTGGCTCTTGCGCTGAATCAGAATGCCCTTGATCATGTTGACTGGTGGATTTGAACCCTACACCCGCTGAGTGATATGTTTGCAAGTGTGCTTTAGAATAATTCTGTACAATTTTACAGCATTTGACAACAATTTGCGAGGCTTTTGTTATTTGTGCTGCAGTTTGTGCTGATTGTTGTTGTGTTGGCTGTCTGGTCCGCATGCATTTGTATGCAAATTGTAATTTGCATCTTTGAATTTGATTTGATTGCGAGTGTTGTCTCTGGCGGTTCTTATTGTTGCCCTCGTTGTTGCTGGTTGCTGGTTGTTCGTTGCTCGTGGATGTTGCAGCTGCTTGGTTTGATGTTGCAGCTGTTACTGCTGCTCCTTTGGACCTCTTGCCCCAGATCCTTTCACTCCTGGTCAACACCCGAGGCTGCTCTCATGGCAACTACCACGTTTATCCTTCGTCCTGTGCGGTTTTGCCGGTCCTGTCCTTTGTGTTTACTTATGATTTGCTTTTCCCAGCTGTTGATATTTGCCGAAGCTTGCTCCTCAGCAACTTTTCGTTGCAAACTCTGCAAGGGGAAAAATCAGAGAAAAAACCAAATAAAAATACATATAATATTCCATAAAATTGTAAAGCTTCATAGTTTCGCCCTGCTGCTCAAAATCTAGCTGCCTGATAAATTTCAGCATGGTAAATGAATCCTGAAGGAGTGGGACCATGGCAATTGAGTTAATGGATACAAAGTTCAAGAAGCGCCAACTATTATTTCCCTTCACATTTTTGTAGAATTTAAACATGCTTTCTTTACTCTTACTATAAAAAATTGTTTAAATGATTTTTAAATGCATTTAATTGCTTTAATCAATTAATGGTGTAATATATAAAATAGTATTAGGAATAGATATTTAATTTTTATTCAATAAAAATCCACATTTAAATTTGTATCTTTTGCATGTTGGTCTATTAAAATAGTTTTCCAGCATTTAAATTGTTTCATTTTCCCTGAGGATATTTCAAAATACCAATGACTATTTCATTTTTGATTAAAAACGAATTGGATGTTTAACCAAAACTTTGCTGTTTCCCAAGAGTATCTCAACTTTGATGTGCCCAAGGAAATTTTCCCTCGTAATGGTTTCTTTTTTGGGTGCGTTGAAGTGTAAGGATAATGCTGATGACGCATGTGTCCTTGGATCCGTTGCCTTAACCCTCTGAGGCCCCCACTCTCCACTCTTCCATCGACCTGTCATCGATAGCCCGGCCAATGCCTTGAATAAGTATTAGCCACTACTTCGTGGAAATTGCATGCCAAGGAGCCATCATCGAGCTAAGTTTACTTTACTCGCTTCAAGCCACAAGCCCAATCTCATGTGCAGCCAGCTTGATCCTGCGAATGTGTCTTATCCTGGGACGGTCAACAAAGGGAATTACTAAGTGGTCTTGCAACAAAAATTCTGAAAAAACACCAAGCCTTTAAAAGACCTTGCTGAGTTTGCTCTGTAAAAAGCACGAAGGCATTAAGTCGCTAATTTACTATGCTCTCAGAGCAAAAACATTTAGGTGAAGGTTGGGATAACGGCTGCAGGATTACGTTGATGTATAAAATAAAATTTATTGCAATCCTGTATACAATTGCTTTTTAAATAAAATACACACAGTAGTTAAAATTGACCAATACGAATAAGTATTATATACGTAAAAGTAAAAAAAGAGGTTACCAACTATTGAAAGTACTGACTACCATCAAAAGGTACGTTGTCTTTTTTTATAATGTTGGGAGATATATTGGTCACTTTGACAATTCGATGGTTTGAGACCATTTAACTATTCAAGCAATTTCACCTAAAAGTTGTTTATATTTATTAAACAAACATTGCTTAAATAAGCATAAGTTACACGTTAAATTTAATAATTGAAACCGCTGTTAATTCACTCAAGGCTTTTACAAGAAAACAAACATCGGCATTCATTATAAATCAAGGCCTCCAAATAATTCCATTCATCAATTATGTACCTGTATTCCTGCACAACATTAAGCCATTAAACAAGCCCAATAAAATTAATTCGGCGTCCTTCCGTATGAACATTCTCAAGCTCAATTTCACAGCACAATAAACTGAGGCATTTGTTAAACTAACAATCAATCATCCTCGTTTATCGTGTAACATTCACCCTGGGAAAACTGGAAAACACTTCATCTGGCTCTTTTATTTGAGTATCTCAGCAATCTGTATCTCAATTCCTATTTGCTGCGAAAATAAAGTTCATTATCATAAATTGAAAATGGTAATTATTGTTTGCCTTGAAATATTGCAAGCGCGAAAGGAGTATATGGATGGGCATCATTTTCCTGTTCCACATTGCAGCAGTAATAGTCATTAAATGAACAATTTAAATCGAATATCGATTATGGCTGGTAACACACTTTTCGGCATCCTGTTACGGCACATGAATATCCTTGAAGTGGATAGATGGGAAATTGCAGCCATTAAGGAAATGTTCATTTATGAGTTTTGCCAGATGCAATACAAAAGGAATTTCCATGCGACGTGACTATGTCAATGTGTGAGTGTGTCCCAAAAATGTGTCGATAACAGGAGATGCAAAAACAACAACTGCACGCACTGCTGGAATAACAATGGGGATCCCCCTTTCAGCCTTGCCGCACACCATGGCGTATGCGTGTTATCTCTGCGGTCAGTCAAGCCCAAACGCTCTCTGTCCCCCTCTATCTTTCCCCCTTCTCCCTCTCGCACTTTATCTGTGCGTGCTCGAAACTTCGTGTTATTAATTTAGCACGCCTCGTTTTAAGCTCAATATTTATGCAACTATTGTATATAATGGCAAAATCACAAATAATTTATGACTTAAAGGCAAACGTTGAGAGATTAAGTTAAGGAAAGTTCGGCACAAAAACCATAGAATTTGGAACTGCTAAGTAGATTTAAGTCCAAAAACCAATTACCAAAAGCTTAAGTTTAGGCGCATTTTGAACCGAACGTGTTAAAAACACTGAAATTTAACTCTAAGTAAAGAAAAATTGAAATATACTTAAAATAAATATAATTTTGATTTATAACTTTAATAATAACTTTAAAAAAGCAATGGTATAAAATTCCTTGTTAAAAAGTTGTTATAAATATATACAAAGTATAAGTAAAAAAATTAAATCAAATTTAAAATAGTATAATATATAAAAAATTATAATTATATTCGGTTTATAAATTGTCATAATAAAAGCATTGATAGACAATTTAGTTTACACTTCGAATAATATTAACATAACAATAATATCAACCCATAAAAACTTGATATAAGCAAATAGATAGTTCCAAAGTAGAAGAATATAAATTAAAATTTTATTTATATCTTAACACTAGAAAATATGTATTTAATTTATTAAACAAGCAAATTTAAATACATGATAAACTATGTAGTTTACATTTCGAATACCTACAATAAAATCAAATGTTTTTACTGCCATTGGTAGAATACATATTACTATATTAGTTCTCCCAGCACAAGCGCAGATAATAGACGTCTTAAAGGCGGACATTAACCGATAAGATAAAGAAAGCTCGGCACAAAAACGAAACTCAAATACACTTAAGGCAATTTAATTTGTCTTTTTTCCGTAGCCAAGAGCCCCAAACATCAAGGCAAGTGACGAAAGCCAGGATGACCTCAAGGGGCGGATGAAAGGACGGCGAGTGGGGCGGTTAGCAAATGAATGGCACTCGACAGGCGCAATGTGCAACATGAGACAACAACAACAAAAGGCAGGGTAGAAAAAAACACCTAGCAGGCATTATCCTTCGGATAGGTCAGGGGATCTAGCTGGCGACGAAATCTGCCGACGGCCAGCGGCCAAGGAATCCCAGTCCCTTCCTTCTAATGAGTGCCTGCAACACCAGCAACACAAGCAGCATCGGTGCCACGCTGCACATGCCTTTACTAGATTGCTACAGTGGTAACTCGCTAACTAAGCAATCCTATTGTCAGGTGTGCCACACAAATCACTAGGGGTTTGAAATCTCTGATTAATGGTGTATTAGATGTCTAAAGGTATGAAACAATATATTTTAAAATCATATGTACCATAAATTCATTCAGAAAGATGAATGTTCTTTATTCATTGCATACTTTTAGACACCTAAAAATATCATTTAAAAGTGATTTAAAGAACTGTAACATTTATACCTTCTTTGCCAAACAAATCACCAGATGTCTAAAAGTATGCAGCAATATACTTTAAACTCAGATGTACAAAAAAATCATTTAGAAAGTCAACTATTCTTTATTTATTGCATACTTTTAGACACCTTAAAAATTACATTTAAAAATGATTTGAAAAACCCTAATACTTTGTGTGGTACCCCTATGTTTTTAAGATTAATGGATTCATGAGGCAGTTAAATTTAAAACACAACTAAAATCCAAAAAAGTTCATTAGCAGTAAACATAATTTTTTTTCCAACCACAGTCGGTTACGTACTATCTAATAATTTCATGGTCTTTTACGAGAATTAATTAAGCCCGTGTAGCTCGGATTTATGTTACCTTCTTCTCACTTTCACATAATTATTTTCATCTTTTTTCCTCATCAATACAAATTTTTCAATTAAAAAAATATTTCGCCCCACGCGTTGCTCATTATTTTCTCGTACAGTTTATGGTCATCGAAGCGTTGGAGTTCCGCTTAATTAGCAGTCACTGTAAGCGGGCGAAAAGGGGGTGCGGTCGAGGGGGGGCTGAGGGGGAAGTGGGTGCAGAGTGGGTGGTTTCTGGAGTGGGTGGTTCGGGTCGTACTGTACTTGTGGCGGCTCTCGAGTGCCGGCTGCTCTCGCATGTGTGCTCGAGGGCAGCGAATTATGTGCTTGCACTGAGTGCAAGTGCATTAGCACCCGCCAAGAGGGGGTCGTTGGGCTGGCCAAAAGGGGGTGGCAGTTCCGGGGGGTTGGGAGTGCGGATCAGGGGGACGGGGGGGCAGGATGTTTGCCTTAACTGGTGCCCAAGTGCTTCCTTGCGAGGCCATCGCAGCAATGTCTGCCAACGACGACTGAGCCCTGACTGAGTTCGACTCGGCCTGGCCCGATGTTTCGGCCAAAAAGTGTGCCACAATAAACACACAGACTCACAAGCCAAACACGGCAAGGTAATGAAAATCATAGTTACTGCGTCTGTTTCGTGCCCTTCGCAGGGGAATTACAATTTTGGGTAAGAAGAACGCACATTTCTTACCCAAAATATTGTGACTTGAAATATATTACCAGCACTTAAGGAATTTCTCTATAAGATCGGCTTACAAACCTCTCAAATCTCATAAGACCTCAATTACCTTAACTTTCGTAAACAATTTAGATCCCACCGAAGAATATTATTTTTAATGAAGCTAATTTGAAAACTGCATGTAAAATAAAACTAATTCAAAAATATTTCAATATAATAAGAAAAATGAACAAATATATATTAAATTATATATTCTAAGATAAAAGAAAACAATACAATACATAACCCTTAAGCCCTAGCTTTTAATATGACCAACCTTAACAATGGAAAAGACAAAGG